AGGATACACAGATAAAGTCAGATGCAGAGGACAGAGTACACCACATACCGGAAGACCACAAAATTCTAGTGAAGAGACTGGTGAATCGAATTTGCTGTGTCATAACTGAAACAGTACCTGCATAGATATTAATCATTTTAAAGCCCTGCATTCTGCTGGGCTTTATGAACTTGTTCAAATTCACTGAAGTACAAAAATGGACATACTTCTCAAATTTGTTGGCAATATAGAAACTTCCAACACTCACAAGCTTTTTTAAAAGGCTAGAAAGAAGTATGGAAAATGCCATTTATCCACTGATGATGAAATTATGATTTTAAGACTTTTCACTAATTTGTAAGTAGCATAATTTAAAAGTTCTAAGTACTGGGTTTTGTTTTTTGAGACAGGGTTTCCCTATGTAGCCCTGGATGGCCTAGAACTCACTATATAGACCAGACAGGTCTGGAATTTACAGAGACCACTGCCTCTGCCTCCTGTGCAGGCAGGTGTCATGTCTCACAATTCTAAGTATTGTAGTGTTCAAAGCAGTGGTTCTCTGCTGGATTGTTTTGTTTGTGTAGACAGGGCTTCTCTGTGTAACAGTCATGGCTGTCTTAGAACTCACTTTATAGACCAGGCTAGGCAAGAACTCAGAGATCTGCCTGCCTCTGTCTCCCCAGTGCCAGGATTCTTAATCTATGGGTTGTGACCCCTTTGAGGGGGTCAAACAACTTTCACAAGGGTCACATAAGACCATCAGAAAATAGCTATTTATACTACAATTCATTTCATTAGCAAAATTAGTTATGAAGTAGCAACAAGGATAATTTTATAGTTATAAAGTTATTATGCCACCACATGAGGAACTGAATTAAAGGGTCAAAGCATTGGGAAGGTTGAGAACCACCGCTATAAAGCATTTTGGGGCATTCAAGTTCAGGTGTCCACATTGACTTTGAAAGTGACAGAGTCACACACTGCACTATAAAGTAAAACTCTTAAATTACCCTAAGGAAACAAGGTCTTCGAAGGATTTTTCTTACTTTCTTTTTTGTTTGTTTGTTTAAGACAGGATCTCATTATGATTGGCTCAGAACTCACTTCTCTACAGAATATTTAAAATAACCATTTTGAAAATGTTTTCACTTAGTTAATCAAATGCTTAGAATTACTTATTATTTAGGATTACACATTTTTAAGCCCAGCAGATAGGTATGGAGAAAATGGCATATATTTGGGTGGAGGCATTAACTGGATTAACAGGGTAAAGTTTTAAAATTTAGCAGTTGAGAATTTTTATTTAGTGAGGCATGGTGGTGAATGCCTTTAATTCCAGTACTCTGGAGGCAAAGTCTGGTGGTTCTTTGTAAAATCCAGGCCAGTCTGGTCTACATGAGTTCCAGGACAACCAGGGCTCCAAAGTGGGACCACCATCTCAAAAACAACAACAAAAAAGATTTTTTTTTGTTTAAAAGTCACATACAATTCACAGATAAGCCAAAGTTGAAAACACAAACGAAAGCACTGCCACGGTTTCTAAGAAATACAAGACATGAAAGGAAGAATGGATTTGCTTCAGGTAAGAGAAGCCAAGTGAAGCAAATAAGCACGAACTGGATTGTTTAAAGCGAGCCGGCACACTACCTGCTCAAAGGGCCTTTTCATGAAATAAAGAGGAGGTAGGGTCAGACCTCATGTAAGAAGGTGAGGATATATGTACATGTGTGTACACATACATATACATGTATGTATGTATCAACCATGTCATCAGTTTTCCCTGTTTCAGCCTTTAATTACTATACTTCTTAATTAGAAACTGTTTCTCAGCCAGGCGGTGATGGCGCACGCCTTTAATCCCAGCACTCGGGAGGCAGAGGCAGGCGGATCTCTGTGAGTTCCAGGCTGGGCTGGACCGATAGCCTCCAAAACAATCGAGAAACCCTGTCTCGAAAAACAAAACAAAACAAAAAGAAACTGTTTCTCACATCCCACCCATTGGTGATGACTTTAAAGGTAATAAAGGTGGATCACCGGGAATGACAGTTTCGCCAGGTCATTTAATTCCAGCACTCAAGAAGGCAGAGGCAAGTGGATCTCTGCATCTGAGGCTAGCGCGGTCTACACGGTGAGTTCCAGGGCAGCCAGAGCTTTTCAGGGAGACCCTGTGTCAAACAAATGAACAACGGCAATCTTTTCACTAGTACAAAATGATGACTTTATTAGAAAGCCACACTGGTCACCTTGGCTTTCACAGGCTGATACCAAGTAGAATAGCTTTAATTGCAGCTCCAGGCTTTTCACACCAGGTAATTCCTGAGAAAGCATTCTCCCCATCCACAAGTTCCAACACTCGAATTTAACCTTATAACGAGCCATCGGTGCCTGTTCCACACCAATATACTTTCAATGGAAGCTAAGGCAGGTCTGACACTCATGAGCTCTCCCCTTGACTGCTTTAAAACTAATATGAAATAGAACTAAGCAATGTCTTATTTGGGGGGGCAGGGCTTTTTACTATAAATGAGAAAGTTATTTTCTGACTGCTATAAGAAACTAGATTTTAAAAAGGTGTGGAAAGGAACTAGGAAATGCCCCTGAAGGCAGGTCAGCACAGGCGTGCTGGTTTTATGTATTAGGGTTAGGCCTGCTACTACTGGAACTTTCTCAAAAATACTGAAGAACATTTTACAGGTTACAAGACCAAATGCTCATAGGGAAAATAAGTGAGCCCTGAACACGAGTCCATTTACTGATATGTGAGGCAGCCCAGAACTTGAGGAATACCATGGACTAACCACAGGCTATGTAAACTGATGGGCCCTGAATCATGGCTCAGGGTTCAGCCGTGGCAGACTCATTAGAGAAGACAGTACCAGGGGAAAATATCTCAAGCAGCAATGCGAAAGAAAGCAGAGCTCAGGCAACATTTATACAAGATTAGATGAACCCCTGATATTCCTGCCAAGTCTCAAATGTTATCCGAGATAAACTGAGGGTTCAGGGGTAGGAAGCAAACTGGTAGGGTTAATGAAGATGAAAAAAGTGTAGGCTGGGTTCTCACATCAGAAAACAGCTACATTAAATGTTGGCAAACATAAAACAGATGCTAAAACCCATTCTCTTGAATTCCATAATTTTGGAGTTTACAAAATTCGATGTTGTCAACTTCAGGAAGCACAGTAAAAATAAACTTCATTATTTAATACTGTTTATGCCGTTATAAAAAGTGAATGCTTAGGAAATTTGAAAATTGTGAATTGGTTCTTCTGAGGTTTTTCTTCAGGATATGAAAAAGAAGCAAGCTGCTGTTCCATTTAGAAGTAAAACTTCGAGTCAACCTTCAGGCACGGATTTTTTGGATAACCCAAGTTAATTATGAAAAAACTTAGAATCTTCAGAGGTAGTATTTTGTTATTTTGGAAATTCAAGCTGTAACTGTTTAAAAAAAGTTTCAGAAAATGATTTTCTGGAGGCAACCTCAGTTCCATCAACCACTATCGAGTGACATCATCCCAGAATAGATAGGAATTAAAAAAGAATGAAGAAAATCCTCCCAGAAAGTTGGGCAAGGAAGGTCTCCTCCGGGCGGGAGCGTCCTCCGAGGCTGTTTTCAGGACTTCAAACTTGCCAGGCTGTGCAGGCGAACAAGAACGACACCAGCGGTTTGCCATCTCTGAAAAGTTGATGCCAAGTGTCAAGCACGGTGCAGGCGAAGTCTTCTGATCTCCGCAGGCCTCCTTCACCGGGAATGTCTCGGAATCCTTGCCACACCCCTTTCCAAGGACCTACCTAGGCAGCACTCCCAGCCCCTGCCAGCTTTGGAACCTGGAGATGTCCACGGCGGCGGGGAACGCGCACCGGACCTCCTCGTACGGCGCTGCAATCCGGCCGAACCGCGACCACCGCGCCGGACACTCAGCTCCACGGGACCGGAGATCCGCGCTGTGAGCAGCCGCGTGCCATCAACAGGCTTCACTTCGGATGCAGTCTTTTTAACATTTTTACTCGTTTGCTGCGAGGGAACAGAGTCGGGCCAGCGGCTTGGAAACAGGGCTGGGGGACGGCGAGGCGGACGGACGGTGGTGTCTTCTTCGTGACACTGGCGGCGGTTCTGGGGGGAGAAGTGGGGCGGCCCGCACGGAGGCGACTCCAACCGGGAAGGCTCGTTCGAACGGGGTGGCGCGCGGAGGACACGCGGGGCTCGTCTGTCCGCAAGGCTCCCCCGCCCCCGGCCCCCCAGACCAGCCGCGACCCCCGCGGCAGGTTCGCGGCCACAGGTAGCCCCGTCCGACAAAGCTCCGCGCGGCGCAGGCGGCCGCCCGCGTCCTCTGCGGCCCGCCGCGCGCCCAGCCCTCTCGCCCGCCCCGGGACCTCTCTCTCCCTCTCTCCTCCTGACGGCCCCCAGACGGCCCCCGCGCCCCGGGTCCCCAGCCGCGCTCCGCCCGACCCGCGGCGGTCCCCGCGCCCGCCCGTCGGCCCCAGGCACCCCGGAGGCGGCGCAGGGGGAGGGGCGGCGCGGGCCGCGGGTCCCCCGGGGCGGCCGCACGCCCCCTCCCGGCCCCGCAGCTTTCCCGCCTTCCCCGTTTGAACAGCTCCCGCCGCCTTCCTCCAGCGGCCCGCTCCAGCCCCTACGCCGGGGCGGCTCCGGCCGCTACTCCAGTCCCCGGCTTGGCCCCCCCCGAGCTAGGCCGTAGCGGGCCTGAGGCGCCTCCGGGGCGGTGTCGCGGGGCCGGAGCGGTGGGCGGAGGCCGGGCGGGGCCGTGGCCGCCCCGGGGTGGGGGTCCGGCCCGGTCTGGTGGGGGCTCCGCTCGCCGCTACCTTCACTCGGCTCGCTCGGATCCCGCCTCGGCGCCGCCGACCGCCGCCATCTTGGGGAAGGAGAGAAGAGCGCGAGCGACCAGGGAGCCTCAGTCGAGCCCAGAGCGCAGACTCCTGCCGCCGCGGGGCTAGCGCGCGGGCCGAGGAGCGTCGAGCGCATCGAATGAAACTGGCGGAGCGCGGCCGCCTTTGAGAAGCCGCTCGGTGGCGGCTTTGCGCCGGAAAGCTCCCCTAAACGTATCGTTTCCCACGTCTTCCGATCGGTTTTCAAGGAAAAGCAGTTTCCTTTCTGTAAGGAAATCGCAAATAAGGAATACTAGGCAACCAGACTGACGTAGTCATTCAAACACCTTCCCCGACCCAGAGCGGTGGTGCCGAAGCTCTGGAGCTCCGCCTTGGATTTCACAGGTTCTTCATCAGTTACATTCAACAGAAACCCGAAAACTTCACGTCGGACACATTCGGGGGGAAAAAAAAACAGTTTTGTTTTCTCTTCCACAAACTCGTGGATCCTACGCGCAGTTCTCCAGTCTTCCTGGTCACCTAACGTTTGTTCTCTTTGGACCCCAAGTCTTCTGGTTCTTAACGCAGTGGTTTTCATCTCGAGACATGTCCCTGTTTGCCTGACTCAGAGCCATGAAGATTAATAGCAGTGTTTATTTATAATTTAGCCATCTACGCCACGTCTGGATATTAGTAACCCCTGTGAAGTGAAGAGGGAGACCATACATTTGCTATTTATATTTACTTATTTTTGGGTTTTCGAGACAGTGTTTCTCTGTGTATCCTTGGTTGTCCTGGAACTCGCTCTGTAGTCCAGGCTGGCCTGGTACTCACAGAGATCCGCCTGCCTCTGCCTCCCCAGTGCTGGGATTAAAGGCGTGCGCCACCACTGCCAGAACATATTTATATGACGCGCTGTAACTTTGCTTTCCCACCGAATCGTTACACCCCACCCCACCCCATTTTTCTTTAAATGTTTACAGGACTGGATAATTGGTTAGGTAGATTAAGGCAGTTGCATCAAGCCAGTGAGTGGGTATATGTTTGACACCAGCAGAAGAGAAAAGTTATTTGTGCAAGTTGTCCTTTGACTGCCACAGGAGAGCTCTTAAATATACATAAAGTGAAAATAAATAGAAGTTACAAATGGTTTTCAAAGAAAGAGTAAATATTATTCCTAAACAGGAGGGGACCCAGTTTCTTCTGATTTGCTGCAGTGATCTTAGACCAGTAAGTAAGTTTACAATGCCCAGAACACGGTTTAATGCCAGGATCCTGTTTTTCTAGTGTAGTGCTGGTGTAGTTGGCTTCGGTGAGAACAGTGAGCTCTCTATCTGTCTGAGCTGGTACCCTAATCACTGTGGACAGCAAGTGACAGAGATAGGCTTGTTTCTAGGGCTGCGAATCCCACTAAACTGGAAAACCACATTACTGCACCCATGTGTGTTTTGCTAGGACGTAGGATCTTATCCTAGTGGCTTTCCATTCCAGAATAGCACGAATGCGTGGACAGCAAGGCAGCTTGTCTTGTACTCATCTCTCAGTGCTCAGATGGCTAGAGGCCAGACTGACAGTGTCTTTGCTCAGTGTAGTGTTCTCCGGCTTTTGCTCTCTTCCCCTTTGCACTGAGTAGAAGATTGGATTTTAATTGTTGCTTTTACAGGTGTCAGATGCTGAGATGAAAAACACCCGACACAAAGTCGCTGCATTGATTCCCAAAACATAATCGCAAATAACGATGGAAATGTACTGCAGTCTCTTTCTCCTCAGTCCTCATCCACTGCACAAAAAGACAGGCAATGAGTTTTACCAAAAGACAATAATTCGTTTTTCTGGGACGCCTTCTCTGATTGGAAGCATTTAAGAACCTTATAAATACATTTCATTTTTGTTGTTTAATTCCTGGATGCGCTAGCTAGCATGTTTTCTGTTTTTAGTGAAACAAACTCTGCAGTTAACCAGAATGCTGGGCAGTGGGGGCGTACGCCTTTGACCCTCGCACTTGGAGTCAGAGGTGGGCAGATGTCTGTGAGTTCAAGGGTACGTGGATCTCTGTGAGTTAGAGGCCAGCCTGGTCTACAGAGAGTTTCAGGACAGCCTGTTCTAGATCACAATTTACTATACAATATACTCGCTCCAATTCTTGCATTTCTGTACAGGCTTTCATTCATTTATTGAAATGGTCCTTATGGAAAGCCCAGCCTGCGTCAGGTGCTGGGTACTGGAGCAGGACCAAAGCCAAGGGTACCACTGTGATTGGGAGTGGAGAGACAGAAAACACTAACGACGTGTTATATTAGGTGTTGATGTGCTGACTGGGCAAGAGCAGTCCTGGACGAAGGTAAGGGTGGGGAGACCGGTCCTATTCCATATGGCTCAGGGAAGGTTGTTGGAATGAGGTGCTCCCCCAGCAGAAGAGGAACCAGTGCTGGGATCCAGCAGGCCAAGGCTGTTGGGATAAACAAGCCCCTCCTCAGAGTCTCCACTACTTCTGTGAGCATCCGAGCACGGCTTTCTGGGGTTTGGGCAGAGAAGGTGGAAGAAGACAGCTGACCCCTCAGAGTTCTCCTCTGCCTCATGAGCACTGGTGAGTGTGCACATGTGTGCGCACGCACACACACACACACACACACTATAATAAATGAATAATAAAAATAATATAATATATAAAAAGAAAATATATAATAATATTAATAAAAAATAATAATTAATGCAATACCGTCACAATCATTCCAAATAAAACAGACAAGAAACACAAACTGCTAAGAAGTAGTGTGTGTGGGCTAGAGAGATGACTTAGAGGTGAGGGCACTCCTTTGGGCAGAGGACCAGGGTTGGGTTGCCAACACCCACATGGTAGCTTACAGCCTCCTGTGACTCCGGTTCCTGAAGATCTGGTGTGGGGACACCAGACCTTGAGCAGAAACCCACTTCCCCTTTGGCCTGGGAGCAGGCATCTATGTATTGTTTACTGAAAACAATTCAGTGCTTTAAAGCTTGATAGGGCTCAGATAGGGCTGGCTCACTGAAATACCATGCCTTCCACACCTCCTATGGCTAGATGCCTCTTCCTGCCCCCTGTGGTGTCTCCCCGATTCTGGGGCCGGAGATTAAACCACCAGCCAGGAGGGTGAGAAGTGGAAAGAATGGTATGTAAATGGATGGCAAAAGTCCTTAAAAAGGGAAGCCCTTTTTCTTGGAGAGACTTCTCCTGAGATTGCTTCTGAGAGCTCTCTCCTAAGCTGACTTGGGAAGATAAAGTTTTCTTAAAGCAACCGACCGGTCTCTGTGTCATCTATCCCGACCACCTCGCTACATTCTCGGATGCAGGCCGCACAGCAGGTGCGACAATTGGAGGTCCCACCGAGATCGTGAAAGCGAGGTAAGTGAGCGGGTTCGTCTCTTTTTCTGGCCAGGGACAGATTGGAAAAAAAAAAAAGAAAAAAAAAGAAAAGAAAAAAAAAAGAAAAGAAACCATGGGGAATAGTTCTGGGAAGCTTAAATTACAGTATCAAGTTAAAAAGTTACTTGAAGGACATGGGACTACAGTAAAGTCTAAAACCTTAGAGGGCTTTCTAAAGTCGATCGAACGAGCCAGTCCATGGTTCATTACCGGGGGGAGCTTAAATATCCCAGATTGGGAGGAGGTTCGCCGTGATCTTCATCAACTTTTACGAAAAGAGGGACCTGAGTCCCTGCCCCCATCTACATTCTCCTTATGGAGATTAGTGAGGGGAGCACTTTTGACAGATAAGGCTAGCCACCGCCAGGTAGTCCAGACCACAAAAGAGGCTTTTTCAGAGTTACAAGAGATTGAGACTCAAGCCTCCCTGAGTTCTGAGGCAGAGAGTGACAGTGAATCATCTAGGGAAACCCTGACTGAAACTAGAGGCTCCATTGTTAGTGAGGATGAGGAGGAGCCTCTTAGCAACAACAAAAGAGTTAATAGAAATCTCGGGGCGCGACCCAAAAGGAGGGACTTCAGTCAGAATCGGGTATATCCTACTCTGTCAGACCTAAAAAATGAAAATAGCTCAGACCCAGACTCTGACGAGTCAGAGTCTGAGAAGGAACGGTTACTTGCTGAGGTCTCGGCCCTTAAAAAGGCTCTAAAAAGGACTCGAATTAAAAAAAGACAGGACAGGGAGAGAAACCCTTCCCCATACTCTGAAAAAAGGGACTCTTCCTATGAGATAACTCAGTCCTTCTCGGACCTGGAGGGAAGACCCAGAGGAGGGGTCCAATGCTGCCCGGTGGTGGCCCCAGTAATGGAAGTTCCAGACCCGAACAATTCTGGCCAGGTCATTCGGCGTCATAACCCTTTAAATTTTAAGGATATAAGACAACTTAAAGAGGCAACTTTAAATTATGGAGCACAGGCTCCCTTTACACTTTCCTTAATGGAATCTTTTGCATCTCTTAATTTGACACCTGGCGATTGGCAGCAGCTTTGCAGAGCAGCTCTGTCGGGGGAGATTATTTGATTTGGAGAGGTGAGTTTCAGGAAAGATGCAGCCAGACAGCCCAAAGAAATGCACAGGCCGGACAGCCCCAGAGAAATGTGGAGATGCTTACCGGGAGTGGTCAATATGCCACCATTCAGCAACAAATGCAATATGACATCGCAGTCTATGCCCAAGTGGCAGCAGCGGCCCAAGGGGCTTGGAAAGCATTGCCTTCCAAGGGAGGAGGGGATCATCTGTCCAAAGTCCTTCAAGGACCCTCTGAACCTTTTCAAGACTTCGTAGACCGTCTCAGTCAGGTAGCAGAAAGAATATTTGGGGGCATTGGGCCTGCGATGCCAGTCATCAAGCAGATGGCATTTGAAAATGCAAATAAGTATTGTAAGGAAGCCCTTCGCCCATATCGCAATAAAAGTCTAAATGACTATATCCGGATTTGTAGGGACATTGATGGAAACTTCATCCAGGGCCAAGTGTTAGCTGCTGCCATTTGGCCCCAAGTGGGGAAAGAAAGACCTACTCTGGGAGGGAGAAAAACATGTTTCAGCTGCGGTAGGGAGGGACACTTCCGTAGAGAGTGCCCTCAAAATACTACTACGGGTCTCAAGAGACCTGGTTTATGCCCCGTTGTCGAAGGGGATATCATTGGGCCAATAACTGCTACTCTAAAACTGACAGGGAGGGAAATTTCCTTTCTGCTAATAATAATCAGGGAAACGGGAGGAGGGCCCCGCCCCAGGGCCCCAAAACCAATGTGTACGGGGCAATGACCCCTGCTCTGGGCAGTGGCAGGACTTATTTTCTCCCCAGAGCAACCCCTTCATATCTCAGACCTCCTTAGAGCCACCTCAGGGAGTGCAGGATTGGACCTCGCTCCCTCCGCCGGGGCAATCCTAACACCGGAAATGGGGATCCAGGCCCTCCCTACTGGGGTGCATGAGCCATTGCCCCCAGGCACGGTCGGACTACTCTTGGGACGGTCCAGTACTATTCTTCGAGGCATCCAGGTACACCCTGGTGTTATAGACCAGGATAGTGAGGGGGAGATTAAAATAATGACATCAGTGGGCAGTGGGGTTGTTGCCATCCCTGCAGGAGAACGGATTGCTCAGTTACTCCTTCTCCCTACAGCTCCTTGTGAGGCTAGAAAAATTAAAGAGAAAAGGGGCAACCAAGGTTTTGGAAGTACCGGCCCAGCAGCATTTTGGGTAGCCACTATGGAGAACCGCCCCCAGCTTACATTAAAGATAGAAGGCAAGTTCTTTAGGGGCGTTTTAGATTCTGGGGCAGATTTCTCTGTCCTCTCAGATAAATTCTGGCCCCCCGCTTGGCCGAAAGAGGAAGGGACAGTGACCCTCCAGGGAATAGGACAGGCTGTGCCCCAAAAAAGCCTCAGAATCCTAAAGTGGCAAGACTCTGAGGGCCACACAGGGCTTTTCCAGCCATATGTTTTGCCTGGCCTCCCTATTAACCTCTGGGGACGGGACCTCATGCAAGAAATGGGAGTGGTCCTCACCACCCAGGCACCAAAGTCCAAAAGCAGGGGCCCCCAGATGACACAAGGTAGGGGCTGGAGCCCGGGGAGGGAACTGGGTAAATTAGAACAGGGAGAGGTTTGCCCTGTGGCATCCCTCCCTTTGGAGACCAGGGCCCCAGGGGATAGGAAGGGTTTTGGCCATTTTTGATGAGGGTCACTGTTGCGCCGCCAGCCCCCATACCCATCACATGGCTATCAGATGATCCGGTATGGGTGGAACAGTGGCCCTTACCAGCGGAGAAACTAAGGGCGGCTCACCAGCTAGTTCAAGAACAATTGGAGGCAGGTCATTTGGTTCCTTCCACGTCCCCTTGGAATACCCCTATATTTGTAATAAAAAAATCTTCAGGGAAATGGAGGTTACTACAAGACTTGAGGGCCGTGAATGCGACCATGCAGCCTATGGGGGCTCTGCAGCCTGGCTTGCCCGTGCCTGTGGCCATTCCTAAAGACTGGCATTTGATTGTTATTGATTTGAAGGATTGCTTCTTTTCTATTCCCTTGCATTCTCAAGATAGTCCTCGGTTTGCGTTTAGCCTTCCTTCGATTAACTTTAGGGAGCCTGCCCTTCGCTTCCAATGGGTGGTGCTCCCCAAGGGATGGCTAATAGTCCAACTATATGCCAGATTTATGTAGCTGCCTGTTTAGATCCCCTCAGACGTAAGTTCCCTGACCTTTACATTATCCACTACATGGATGATATTCTTTTGGCCGCGGCCGAAGAAAGACAATGTTACATAGCCTTTGCAGAGCTACAGGAGCTTCTGGAGGCCCGAGGATTTATTTTGGCTCCTGAAAAGATCCAAAAGAGACCCCTTATACTTATTTGGGTCATCAAATTCAACAAACTGGCCTCCGGCCACAAAGACTCCAGATCGATTGTTCAAATTTAAAAACACTTCATGATTGGCAAAGATTTTTGGGAGAGGTGCAATGGTTTCGTCCTTCTCTTTCTATTAAAACAGGGGCTCTTAAAGCGCTTTATGATATTCTTCCTGGGGATCCTGCTCCAACTTCCCCTAGACAGATTACCCCAGAGGCCAGGGAAGCCCTACAATTGTTGTTAAGAAGTATAGAGCAAGCCCACCTTCGGCGTATAGATTATGGGCAGCCCCTTGTTCTGGTTGTACTTTCATCTAGCTTTTCGC